GGGGTTCCTTTTAATGTATTATTCATGTTCAAAACCAGTCACGCTGCAGTAAGCAATGAACGCGGGGGTATAGAAATATATAAATTGTTAATTATGTTGAAAACTGTGTACTAAGCCAAATACATTGTACATGTAAGATACGATGTAGCACATTATGATGACAGAGTTCTTGGACATCTGTCAGGACACTGGGTTGAAAGGAAATATTTCAAGGTTTAAAGAACAAAACAAACAAAACAAACAAACGAACAAAACAATCTGGGCGCCATTCTGATTAGAACCTTGAATTTCCGATAAATAGGACAGGTTATAACCTGATGCCCATCAGCAGTCAAATCATATGTGTTTGTAGGCAAAGGGAACAGTAACGGGTAGGTTTATTGTTATTTAAAGGGAAAAGACAGTCGAATATGGGAATTGAGATGTAAGATAGGGAACGGAGAAGGGGGAGGGGTACAGGGCTCAGTGGGATGTAAGTACTATGTATCTAGAAACGAACCGTACCAGTAGTCTAAAAAGTGGAGAGGGGGGGGGGGGAGCAGACAGAACAGCGAGGCGGGGAGTCCTTTATAACCCGAGATAAGCCATACTGCGTGATTTAGAAGGGTCGTTTATGGTCCGAATCCTACTATTGAATTCTGATTTAGAACAGTAGAGCCTATGGACATTGAACAGGACTGTATTCCGTGCCTAGAAAATGGCCCGTTTCAAAAAGTCGCGGAGAGCCAAGAGGCAGGTACATAGGCTACTACTTTTTCTTTTTTTTTCTTATAATATGAGAACGACAGTTCCGGCACGCCAGTGCGAGCGTGTGGCGTCTCCCAACTGAAACGGCACAAGGGAGAAAACCGAAGCAAAATATCTTTTGTCCCCGACATAATTCCCCTTTTCCAAGTTCTCAATTTACAACAAAGGTTCTCGGCAAACCTTCCAAAGAATGGAGCGAGCATTGAGTCGAGACCGCCGCTCATTGTGTCGTAGTTTGAACCACGAGTTAGAATAACAAGAGCTTCGATCCCTTGCACCTTGGATGGTATAGGCTGGTACTTCACTAAACACGTGTTATAAGCTTCTTGTAGAGCATGTTTGGAGTTCACCGACGTTGAAAGAAAGAAAGAAAAAGACATACGGACGAATTTACAGAGAGGAACACATTATTTTCACCAATATTACAAGACCCAGTCCAAAACTAAATTTTCAGCGAAAAAAAGACATCGACCCCCCCC